AAAACATCGAGAAAACTAGATAAGCAAAATAAATTTATTGACCCCTAGCACCTTGTTCGCTCCCCAGTGGTGGTTCAGGAGGAGGCCGAACATTCGCTGTGATTTTTTACGCATGCAAGACATGGCTCCAAACCCTAGCGCCTTGCTCCAGTCCGTTGCACCAGTCCTCCGGCGTTTGGTTTCCTGACGAGCCGAATCAATCATCGGACAAGTCTTTTAATTTCGATGTGTTTGTCGATCAATTGTTCCCCATGTCCATCGCTTGTTGGCGCCGTTCCTTCACTGTTGAGCGGCTGCAGCAACCCTCCTATCCCTACCTTACTTCCGTCTGCAACCATGGAGACGACGCCTCGTCAATAGAAGAAAAAGAAGCCGCCCAAAATTGACGGAGGAGAGAAAACACTACGAGAGGGACTATGTCCGCTTTGATTTCATTAGTGAGTAATACCACTCATTGGGGGGAAGTATTAAATTTTTATATAGATTATATATTGACTACAATCTACAACTATTATATCCCACGAGTTAGATTTTGGAAAAAACTATTCTTACATATTTTTTGTACACACACTTACACACTCGTGTCTGTGTAGTGTTTTTTTTTGTCTGTATACAGACACAACGCATTTGAAGTGTCTGTGAAATAAGTTGTGTCTGTATACAGACAAAACAAAATACTTCACAGACACGAGTGTGTAAGTGTGTGTACAAAAATGTGTACCTCAAGCCTGGTTGTTAGATTTTTAATACGGAGTAGAACTTTTCTGCGTAAAACAAGTTCAAGGATGGGGATCACGAGATGCAACACAAGTTCGGTTTAGTTTTGATTTAGTATTTCAAATGAGTTGTTGTCGATCCCTCGATTATTGTGTCATTGACAATTTCATACTTGACATTTAATTTTTTCGATTTTAGTCCCCGACGTACTACTGTATTAGGGACACTTTTAGTCCTCAACTTCAAATTTTTCACATTTAGTCCTCCGAGTATTATCAAATTGACATTTTTAATCATTCTACTGTGATTTTAACACAATAAGTCAAAGACTAAAAATGACATTATTAAAATAGTTGAAGGACCAAATGTGTTATTTTTCTGAAGGTCGGGGACTAAATATGAAAATTCTCAAATATGAACACCAAATTGTCTCTAACGCAATAGTCGAGTACTAAAAGTGGAAAAAAATCAAAGTTGAGTATCAAGTGTCAATGAAATAATAGTCGTATAACTAAAATTGATAAAAACCCTATTTCAAATTAAGTTTTTTTTAATAGGACTCGTTTTTTCATGAGAATTTTTTTTATTTGATCATGTTTGGTGTACGTGAATTTTATTATTATCAAAATATGTTTTAAATTTCAAAAACTTGATGCTATGTCAAACTTAAATAAACCGAATTAGATCAGACATAAACAAAATAAACCAGACGAGATAAGATTAGAAAATTTCAGTCTCACAAAAAAACAGTCAAGTCTCATCAAATCTAGTAAGCTTAAATGTGGTTTGATTTCGGACTGAAACCAATTGTCTCGTTAAAAATATCCAAAATATTACAATAGTGATAAAATAATAATCCCTTCGTCCCGCTATAATTGTCCCATTTTACCATTTCGGTTTGTCCCACTAAGATTGTCTCATACCTTATTTGATAAAGTTTGTGTGGTTGTAAATCATTCCTACTTTATTCTTACTTTATCAATTCAATATCAACCACATAAACCACTTTTATTAATAACCGTGTCACCTTCTTTTGTCCAAAATTAGCGGGACGGAGGTACTAATAATTAATAATATCCAGCAAGAAAATTACAACACGAATTTGACATTCATAATTTGGTGTCAATTAAATACCTCATGTCAAAATGTTTTTGGTACATATTTGACACATGTGTGCCAAATCGATTTCGGCGTATACTAGCCAAAAGTCTCTGTCAAAATCAATCCAGGAGTTGAACCTATGGGTGGGCACGGTCCGGTCCGGTCCAACATTTGGCCGAACCCGTACCCATACCGTTACTATTGGTACGGTTCGGTACGGTTCGGTCTTAGACCCAAGCCCGTTTGGTACAGTCCATTTTCAAACGGGACGGTACCATGCCATACCAATACCAAACAATGCCACTTTTTCCAGGCGTTTAAGAAAAAAATCAAAGTTTAGCCATTCTCCAAAAATCCACACAATTTATTAATTTTCATATTTCATACTACCTTCGTTCCAAGTTGATTTGCAAAGTCAATCTTTTTTTGGTCAAACAATTTCTTTTTATTCACTTAATTAGAATTTCACTTTTTAATTATATTCTAATTTGGCCTTTCAAAAAAACTACTTTGTACTTCGTATATTCTAATTTGGATTTTTCAACTTTAGAGAGATTTTAAGGTGGTTTCCAAATATGTAAATTTTAATTATTAAAAATTGTATTAATTATCAAGAACTTAACATTACCTTTGACAAAAAAAATGTTGGCTTTACAAATCAATTTGGGACGGATGAGGTAAGTAATATATTTTAGATAAATTATAGTAGTACAAATTTAATAAACCATATTTCGGTCCGGTTCAGTCCGGTACCGGTTCTCATTTTATGAGAACCGGTCATGGCATTGTTTGGAACCGGTTCGGTCCAGTTCGGGACAAAAAAAGTTTGAGATCCGTTTCAAACCCCGTTTATCGGTCCGGTACTATACTGGTCCGGTTTGGTACCATGCAGGTTCGTTATTTTTGCCCACCCTAGTTGAACCAATCCACGAAATATTGGGATATACACCAATTTATAATCGCCTAGGAAATATTAAGGCACGCCGCTTAATTTATATGCGCCATACTGTGTATATTTTATTCTTGTTTGATTATTAAACCCTACCTGCCGCGCAACTTCCATTCGATCCAGAAAGTAGCCGGCCGCGCCTTTGTCATCTCCCTTCTCTGTACTCTGCGCTCAGCAATCATGGACGACTCAGTCGGAAAAGACCCACTGCAAATCCTTCCCCGAGAGATCAGCCGCCATATATTTTCATGGTTGCCGGTGAAGTGCCTCTTCAGATGCATGTCCGTCAGCAAAGAATGGCAGACCTTCGTTCATGAAATCAAGCACGCCCATGCCGACAAACCGCAGCTTCTCGTCCTCTCTTCCCTTATATATAACTTGACCGGGAAGAGATTTAGAGTGAGGTCAATCAACCCGGATCTCAGCCTTCAATGGGTATCTGGGTCTCTGTTCTCTTTCGACAGTCATCTGGACGACCTCGAAATCTTTGATGGACTCCAACCAAACATTTTGGACTCTTGTAATGAGCTTGTTCTTCTTTCGACTGGGAAAAAGATCCTGTTGTGGAACCCACTTACGAGGTGGTTTAGGGTTGTGTTCTATCTTAATAATAACGAGTGCATTTTTAAAGACGGTTCTGGTGTTCTTGGTTCAATTTGTTACGATGCTTCAAGACTACAAAGTTGTCCTTGTACTTTCCTATCTTACTGCCGATCGTCGTGGTTATACAACCAGCTGTGTGAGTTTTGCATGCTTGAAAAGCAATGTGTTCAATAATTTGGGGCTCCCTCGCCGCGGTGTGCACTTAGCGGGAAGGGGAATGCACTCTGCAAGAAGAGGCGTCAACTTTCGCAATGCATTTCATTGGTCGGTACGTCACAACGTCCAACCTATGGTTAGGAATACCGCTGGAGGTCCCAATAATAAGATTGCTTATTTTGATCCCGTGAATGATGAGTTCAATATATTGCCGTCTCCCGAACCATGTCACCGTGAAGAAGACGACTGGATAGTTGGTATGGGAATTGTAAATGGTTGCTTTTCCATGGCTCGTTTGGATAACACGACACAGACGGTTCAATTTTTGGTTATGAAAGAATATGGAAATGGAGAGTCTTGGATCAAGGCATTCGACGTCTCTTTGTCCAAATTTGGTTGTGATAGTGGTGATTTAGACCTCACCTTTTTCTCTCTAGAAAAGAATGGAAAAGTTTTCATGAAGTACAATGACACGAGAATCCTTTTCTATGATCCGGTCAGAGAAGATGCTTTCATCGTTAAAAGGCTTTTACCTGATTCAGAAACTACTCATGGTATGTGCTTATATGCACAAAATTTTGCATCCCCATATGACCAATTAAGTTAGAGATAGATCAGATAGACACATTTTAGTCCTCATATATGATGGTCAATTGTCAATAGATGCACTCCTAAATGCTTCTTTTGTTGTGTTATCGATCAATAAAATTGAAATAATTGTGATTCCCAAAGTTGAGAACAACAGTTGGGATACACAAAAAAAATTGAATACAGGAATTAAGGTTAAAAAAGTTGAGTAAACACGCATAAGTATTTTGTTAATCTTGTTGTTATCCGCTCATCTGAATAGATAAGGCTCGGAATATAATTCAGTAGCAATATAAAGAGAATGTATGGCGTTTGTGATTGTGCTTATTAGGTGGAGGCGTGGAGCTGAGCTTCATTCTGAAATCTAAAAGGTACCCTCATAAGATGTTTTTGTTTCATTCTGCAAAATTCGGGGGATTCAAATGTCCATTAGCATGGATCATACCCACTTAAATAAATTTAACCCATCAGGCTTTACATTTTTCTGAGAAAAACTATACCCGTAGTATGAACCAAAAACAAACAAATGACATAATGAACCAAAAACATTTGGGAAAATAACTTTAAATAATACCAACTATCTTCCATGAACCAAGAATAATACCAAATTGAGAAATAACTTTTAATAATACCAACTATTGGATTATCTATCAAAAGTGATATATTGCAAATTTTCACTAAAAATTCATTTATTCATTTCATCAAAAACTAATATCAAAATTAAGGGTGGGATTTTGGAACCGGGAACCGTAGAACCGATTAGAACCGAACCGTTAACAACATCTAAGAATCGAACCGTTAACAATCAATACCTCATTTGTTGGAACCGAACCGACATTCAGATTCACCTGCCATTTATCTTTTGTCAAACCAAAGCACAGTGACAAATATGACCCAGGAGACTCAATTGCATAATCCATTAAAACTCCTCAAATTTCAGTATGTTTAGTAGTAATAGTAAAATGTAATCATAACAATGTTACAACAAAGTAGCGGTGTTACAGAAAGATTAATCTACACTCTAAAATCTCCACAAAATTGAAGAAGGGACTGCTGATGTTAGATATACATGATATATGAAACACGGGTATTTTGTTTTCTTACATACGACATACGAGTATAATAACTCAGGCCAGGTATGCACAGCACCTCCAGTCTCAAAAAAAGTTGGGCCTTCATCACAAGGTCAGTAGTCACTTGTACTGTGGAGATTAACTTTAGTACTGTTTGCCTAGAACTCCTGGGCATCAATGTCAGGCAGGGAAGGATACTCAAGCCCATGAAGGGCCGGAATCCTTCTTAAATCTTCTACCGAGTAACCTGGGATAAACCAATACCGCTTGTCCGTCCCGAACACCTGAGGCCAAAAATGAAAATGCATTTAAGTAGAATAAAAGGACTTAATACTCAAGAGACCAAAAGTGAAATAGTCTTTCTTGAAAAGACAGAAGCTATACAAGGCTTCAATTCTAAGAGCCAACGATATTAATTGCAAGTCTTTTTAAGTCACCTCACCTGTTCAAAATTTCTCTTTCGACCAAGGTCATAGCGCCACTTTGGAGTAGTCTTCTTTTCATAGGCCTAAAAGAAAGACAGCCAACTGATAGTTATTCCCAAGGAGAAAATCAGATTCAATGTAATATCTTAATTATAAATGTCAAGTCCATACAGCTCCAGGTAGTTCAGCAACCAATAACCATAAAACCGAAAAACCTTAAAACTGAAAAACCTTTCTGCTCAACTACGGGTTATTTAAGTAAGCTCACAGAGGATTATTCTCAAGGATATTAAGTGCATGTTTGGGTTCCAGAAAATGCTAGGAAAAGGAAACAAAATGACAAGGAGAGTTCTTTTTGTATGGCTGGTTTTATATTCATTAAAATAAAATAGGATAACTTCTTTTAAAGTTGTATATATGTTCGGATACCTTACTCACCATATGATTAATAATAAATACTACTATAAACAAATAAGGGTACACAGTGCTCTGATAGTCTGATGTAGTCCAGAAGATGATAAGAAGAGTTTTCTTCAAACGATATTAGTTTTCACCCTTATTCAATGAGTCGATCTAACATTTCACATCAATTATCAAGGACTATGAGTTCCTTTTTAAACTTTACAACATGAAAAGGAGGACAAAGAAAGTGGATTGTGGATGTTTCAAATTATAGGCATATGAAAAAGTGAAAAACTATATCCGCATTAAAACATACAGAGTAGAAGCTATAAAATATTACCTCAATAGTTGTGGTATTCCCCGAGACCAATGACATGTGCATAATCAGAAACCCGAAAACACTCAAAGCAAAAGCCAGGTTCAACACTGTTAACACATGACAATTGTTAATGCGTTTTCTAAGGCGGTATGATCTGAGTGCAAATAAAGATTCAAATATAAGATTCAAACACCTTACCAAAAGCAAGGAAAGTTGTTGCAAGGGTGCCTGGAGTACCAGGTATCTCCTCTTCATCAGTGAAGAACGCAATAAAGTCGGGCAGTAATGATAATGTCACAAGGGTTGTCTCAAGAAATGTGTAAAACTGCACAAACAAAGAGGAATAGATTAAGCTTGGTTAGGGATGATGAGTATTGGAGTATTGGATGTAAAAAAACGAAAAACTTTTAAACACAACATGGACCCTTAAATGATCTGTGTTTATGTATAATGATCTCCATATTTTTATGATAAAGGGAGAAGGGATATTTTAACAAATGAAAAATAGATCAGACCATAGATAACTTAATGTATAAGTATAACTTTATGATATTGGAAACCAAATGGCATCTATTCATCATAGTAATTGCCCAAGTAAGAAGAGACAAAAGGGAGAAATCTCATCAAAATACCACAGAAAAAGTCAGGAATGCATACTCCTACCTATTTCTATACACCTACATCACCTAACATCAGATGGGGAAATAAATGTATGCAGCCATACTTTAAGCTCTACCGAATGTGAAAAATACAGTGACGCAAATCCACATATTAGAACTAGAAAAAACGGGAGTAAGACTTCTAACTTACATATCAAAAAAATATGGCTAAAACTTTATAAGTCATCTAGAGAATTACACAGTTTGTTCCATAATCCAAAAATGACAATACCAACCGTACCAGGAAGAGAAGGAAATACTTGTAGTTCAAAGCACCAACACAATTCACAACCCACACACAATGGTGATCCATTTTTAATACACAGTGGCCACCTAGGTAACCAATCAGAGCAAACTGTTACGGAGAAAACGAGGAAAACAAAGCAGAATTAAACATCGAGAAGACCTGCTCAATAAGGAACTCACAAACAGAACAATGGTGGCATCTAGGTGGCTTCATCTGGTTGCACTTCCTACAGAACCGGGCTCTTTGTTGTGGAAGATCAGCTGGTGAGCTGCCAAAATCTGATGCAGCCAAGGGCTCGCTCTCCCCCATTTCTTCATCCGATGCTGACCTCCAATTGGGAGGCACACTACCGGGATCCGTAAAAACAACAGAAAAGTAACTCCATAGTAGCATCACCAGCTGCATCGATTACAGAAGAGCTATAGTTTCATCATACCTTTTCAGAATCTGAGTCAACGCTTTTCATAACTTTTACAGAAAAATCTTAAGATTTCAAATTATCATGAAGGTAAACTTACATGATCAAAAGTTCAGGCTACATCAAGAAACAATTTGAGGAGTTTTCCCTAAAGCATTGCGTACTAAAATAGAACTCATGAACCAAAGTCTGGTCTACATGGTCACTAATCACTGGAAAACTACAATTGAGGATCTGAATGGTCACTATCTTTGCTGCAGATATACTATTATGGCCACTATGTCTTAAAAGTCATTTTTTGTCATTATTTCTTCAAGAACAGTTCAAGGTGAGATTAATTTAAAATAATAACTAATAAGACATTCTGAATATCGGACAATCACAGCCAGCAAAAAGAAGCTTGTCTAAATTTTTCTGAGCTAGAGCTTTTAAGACTAAGAAGACCGGTACGCAATCGACCTCTAAACCCTCCAAAGTAGCTCAGTTTCACCGTACAATGAAGGGAGAAAAGAATTTACTCTAATTAATGGCTCATTTGCTTAGCTGGAAGAATAGAAATGACTGATTACGGGCTAAAAACAGTAAGTCAACAACAAGGGTGGCGCTAGTTACCAAGCCATGAAAAAGCAGGAGCACAATTAGAGCGATAAGGGTCTGGGAAACGCCTCCGCCGCTGGCAAGGATCGGTCCGTAATTGGTGATGACGACAGCATAATAAGTTACACCGACAACGCCGAGGACCAAAAGGATCATGATCGAGCCCAGACCACGAAGCGCCGTGCAGAACTTGAAGACGTTCCACGCCATTACAGCTCCAGATCTGTACATTTGATTTGGGAATTCGAAACAGATTCTTTGAATTGGCGGCGAGTATTATTTGATTTGATTATTTTGGGGTTTATGGATTCCGGGGACGGAGAGCCGGATATCCGCCGGAGAAGGAAGGGAAAAGAGGATATAGGGAACGGAAATAGCCGCCGCTGGGGGCCGAGTTTTATTCTTTGACGTTAACCGTGTAGTGGAGTGTGGAAGTTGGATGGGGATAAAATTGGCAATACAGTTGATTTTCTATACGGACTTGGAAGTCTATTACAAGTAAGAATATGAAGTTGTCAGTGATAGAAGATTCTTCATGGGCAGCTCTTTATCAGTCGCTTTCACACACCGCCAAAACTTTATACGGAGTACTATCTAGTCTAGAGATTCAAAGGGGGACGGGTACACATTAAAACGAAACATTAAAACGAAACATTAAAACGAAACAGTGGATAATTGTTTGCCCCAAAACCGTCTAATTACCCGTTCGGGTAATTTTTATTTGAACTGTATCCACCCTAACATGGTATCAGTTTATTCACGGGTAACCGTTTATCCAAATCATACCAAATAATCAATTTCTAATCCTACTTTTTATTTATATATTCAAAACACTCTAAAACATACAAAAGTAAATATTTAAGCAAACAATCAGTTTTAGTCCTAAATTAATTAGTATGACAAGCACCAAAATATCTCTTGAAAGTTGAAACATAATAAAGAAAATAGTAATAATTTCATAATCCAAATTCAAACAGGTTTAGGCCTATATTTAGTTTTAGGCCTGAAAAAGTAATAATCCATTGCACAAAAAAAACTGCTAAAAACTGATATATGTGATCTAGTATACACAATTTAACATATATACTTAGAGTAAAGGGTCAGTTTGGTCCTCGAAGTTCCATAAAAGGGGTCAAATAAGTCCTTATATAGAAGATTCTGTCCGAACGTGCCATTTGAGGCGGTTCTCGGTGGAATTTTTTGATAAAATTTTTTGAGCATCTTATTCATTAAGTCTAGTTTACGCATACCAAATTTAAGCTAAAAATTCAATCGGGAAGGCATTCAAATGAGTTCTTGAAGATAACAACGCTTTTAACTGCACAGTTATCTTCAAGAATTCATTTGAATGTCTTCCCGGTTGAATTTGTATCTGAAATTTGGTATATGTGAACTAGACTTAATGAATAAGATGATCAACAAATTTCATCAAAAAATAGCACCAGGAACAGCCCCAAATGGCGACAGCCGGATAGAACCTCCTATATAAGGACTTATTTGACCCCTTTTATGCAACTTCGAGGACCAAACTAACTCTTTACTCTATATACTTATTATTCTTACATTTAAAAAGTTATAATTTATTAATAATGTTACGGATCGGGTAACGGTGTGGGTACCCGCACCATTAGTGAACGGGACGGTTTCGGGGCGGATAACAGGGCGGATTAGTATAGAACCATAACCGCACCATTATCCGTTTAAAAAATTCGGGTATTCCCCGCCCCGTACCTGTTTCCCCATCAAACCGTTTTTCCCCAGTTTGATCAGATCGGTTCGGTGCGGGTATCTAACGGGTCGGCTGAAATTGTGATCTCTAATTTACTATCCCATCCCATTTTTAATTTTAAATTCATCATCTAATTAACATAATTAACATAATTTTAATTAAGAAGTGTTCAAAAAAACACATAATTTAAAAAAAATATATAATTTTTCTATTCTTTTTTTGTATTTTTAATACTCCGTATTACCGTATAAAATAACTCCATATTATCTTGATGTTATAAATATTTTCATATACAATTATTTTCAGTCAAAATTTAACATTGATGATCGAAAAAATCAAAGTTTACTAGCTAAAAATGAGTGACTACTTTAGAATATCTTCATTTGAATTAGAAAGTGTGATGAGAAAGTTAGAATGATTTGGAATCAAAGATATGACAGTCTGTATAAAATTAGTTTAGACTTGGCTTTTGAGATTGAATAGTAATTTTCATCATTTTTATGTTCAAAGACTTGAGCTTTTAGATATAATATTTTCATGTTCATCAATTTTATGTTTTGAGACTATGTATTACTCTGTATTTCATTTCACTACATTATTCAATGTAAGAGTTTTTAACTCTTTAAAGTTAGTGTAGAAACATTGAAACAAGGGATCCCTTGAAACAATATCACATTAACGGGTATAAATTGTTCATCTTTTTTTTGCACAGATGAAGGAAAAACACATCAAATAATACAAATAAGAACCTAACCACTTCAAGTTCATATGATTTTTCATCTTTAGAATCCGTCAAAAAATGAATTTATTTACCAATTTTACATTAAACCTATGTCTTGATTGAGTACATGATTATTGTTGTTTTTTTGTACATGAGCAATCCTCTAGACAATTTGTTTGGTGCTTAAATACGTTTCAGGTGCCGAAATTTGACTTTAAAATTAAAAAATCATAAATATCAAACAATACAAACAAGAACCTAACCACTTCAAGTTTATACGACTTTTCATCTTTAGAATCTATCAAAAAATAAATTTATTTACCAATTTTAAACCTATATATGTCTTGATTGAGTACATGATTGCTGTTTTTTGTGCATGAGCAATCCTCTAGACAATTTGTTTGGTGCTTAAATTCGTTTCAGGTGCCGAAAACAATAATCATGTACGTACGGAGTATCAAATTGGGAAAAATCAATGATATAGACCTAATGTTTAATTGGTGTAATATATATTGGTACGTAGGACTAAAATATACTTGGTACTACATTGGTCGCGTAGTTCATCCTTATAATGCATTTTATGAAAAACGTAAGGCTCTTTTACCATGATTACCAAAATTTATATGACCATTTTATCATATAATGATATCAATATTGCCTAATTATAATAAATAGGGTTTTTTTTAATTATGTAAAGATACCAATTAAAGGAGAAACATAAATATTTCTAGAGAATTGATGTATACTACCAATTATAATTTGATTAATATATTTAATTCATCATGTTGAAGGATTGTTCTATTTTATATAAATAATTAAGTGTGACAATTAGATTTATTACGTATATCTCTACCCATATTGACTTATTCAAGTATTCGACAGTGCATTGTGGGAGATTTCAACAACTAGGATTTAAGCATACTGTTTTTCCAATGTTAAGACTACAAATTAGCCTAAGACTTAAGTACATCTGCTTTGACCAAATTGTCCTTCCTTTTAAATCCTCTGTTGCGCACACCAGATCGATCGCACATTGATATGTACTACATCGACACCAGATCGATCGCACACATGCTCTGTAAACCTTGATCGACACCCTTATCCTCCTCACGATTCAGATCGATCGACTGGGCCATCACCACCGCCGCTGATCGACTTCACCGTCGCGACGCACCAAATCCGTCGGTTTCGAATTCATCGGACGCCGCCGCCACAGGTTTCTTCCTCCTCCTCCTCCTCCTCTTCTTCTTTTCTGATTTTGGACATTGATTTTGCCAATTTTGAACTTCTATTTCATATTTTCACAAAGCCACCACATACTCTGCTAAACTTTAGAAGAAACCAGATCCAAAATCAAACTTGCAAACACCAGACAATACATAGACAGTAAGTAGTCAGTAAACAGACAATAAGTTCTAATAATAGCTCAATAGCAGACAATACATAGACAATAAGTAGTCATTAAATAGACAATAATTTCTGATAATAGCTTAATAGCAGAGCAGGTAATGTAAAACTGGGAGGACATTGAACTTGACCTTGAGGGAGTGTTTGGTTCAAGGTGATATCTTATGCATGGCGGAATCTCATGCCCGGAATGTGAGATACATGTGTTTGGTTCGCGGGTTTGATTTTTTCTTTTGGGAATGTTACATTCCCAAAAGTGGAAAAGGTGATCGATCACATTACCAGGCATGTCAAACCCACCAATGCCTTAGGTTATGTTAGATTCCTGATGGCTTATTAATTTTCTTCTAAAAAAACCTATGCTTCATTAATCGAAATATCTAGATGTGGACTGAGCCCAGTCCGATTCCGGTTCCGGGTCGGGCCCGGAAGGGCTTGGCTTTTTGGGAATGAAGCCCGGGACCGGAACGGCTGTTGACCACTACCGGTTCAGGGCGGTCTACCCGCCCGGGTAACGGGCTGGGCCGGGTACATTTTTCTAATTCATGTCTAAAAAATAATTCAAGAAGTGCTACATATAAAAACTTAAAGTATATTTATTTGAAACATGAACTACAATTGAAAATTGAGAAAAAAAATTAAAACATGAAATACATTTTCTAATAATTGATAAATTTAATGTGTTAAGAGACAAATATATAAAGGACATTCAAGTAATTCACCAAATATGCAATAAAAGATATCATTCAACCAAACAACTTAATGTGACATTCCTTAATCGTAACCAAACACAAATAGGCTATACATTAATCACATTCCCATCTATCTAACATACCCAGTAATCTAACATTCCCATGGTTATCTGACATTCCTTGAACCAAACATACCCTGAAATTGGGAGGAAGGGCTCATTAGAATCATCCTAGGGAGGATATTGAACTCGATTTCACGAAAATAGGCGAAATAGGGGAGGAGTCCGAAGAGGAAGGGTATGAATAGTTATCCATGGCCGTGATTGCTCCGGAATTGATTTTTGGCCTTTGTGTGTGTATAGGGTTCCGGCGATGACGGTCGACGACCTCTCTGGTGGCGATGAACAGCGGTGAAATCGATGGAGTAATGCTACCGGTGAACATGCGTGGCCTAGTTGTCGACGAGGCTAGAGCGACTGAACGACGGGGAAGTTGGGAAGCTAAAAGCTATTCTATTAATTTTAAGGGTAAAATTGGAAGGCAGTAATTGGATTTTCAGAAATAGAACTAAATTAGTCACATGGATGAAAAAACATGGCCAGATCCTATTTTTGTAAATTTGCATTGATTTGATCCCACCGAGAGCAATTTTCTCTTTTAGCTTTTGTGAGAAAGCAGCAACCCGCAGATATTTTGAATTTTTTTAATTGCTACGGAGTATTTGACTATTTCTAATTAAGCCACTCCCTTTAAAAAAATAGTCTTTCTATTTTTCTTATAATTTGATTGTTTTTAGAATAACTTGAATCTCCTTAGAATTAAATCGAATGCTTGATTCTAAAAATAAAAGATTATGACTCCGCATTTCAGGACGATAATGTAAGTTTACATTTCTATCCAAAGAATTAATACGAAGGATTATTAGTTTATTTACATAAAAGTGATAATACAACAATTAATTCATCAATTAATACGGAGTTAGTGTAATTTTTTCAAGTCTTAATACTTTCCGAAATGTATGTGATGCTTTTGAAACTTAGCGTTAAAAGACAATAAAGAGAAAACTTTAAAATTAAAAGTCAAGGGGTAATACTTTTACCAATGTAGTGCCTTCACTCATCATATTGAACAACTCCATATATATGAATCATGAGTTAAATACTTTACGTGCTACTTTAATTTTCTTTAATTTGTCATTTTCATCAGAACTAACACCTTTTGAATGAAACTCGCATATACCTTTTGATTGTTTACGTGCTCCAATAAACAATCATACAGTATTAGGGGAACGGAAAAATAATCCAACTACCTCAAATAAATAGGGTGTGAGAATGTGAGATAAACAACATATCATTAACTTTATGGGTGAACATATTATCACATACTCGGTCACAACCTTGTAAGAAAAAGCCTCCATAATCGACTAAGGCAATATCATCCGGTTGAGGCCGAACCCATTAAGACCGAACTTGAATCCAGTTCGATTTCATATCATCATGATAAGTCCATAACCAGAGCTGAGGCCAAGCTCGATTCCTGAGACAAGGTCAAGGCCCCCATCAAGCCCCCAAACCGCCAAGGCGGGCTCAGAGCTTCAAGCCATGCACGGCTGAATCCAGAACCCACTAAAAAAAAGGCGGGATTGGCACGGAATTTGGCACGGGCTTATCAATTTTTCGTGACAAAAGTGTTTTTGGCACGGATTTGGCGTATCCCTGTCAAATCTGTGCCAAAATCCCTGCGTACCGGAAATTCCACGGTTGATCGAGCTCATCATACTCGAGCGAGGCGTCGCCACTCATGAGCGCGCTAAGGATCGCTTAAGCTGAGTTTTGTGATATATATGAGATTATGAGCCGAGCTTCATAACCTCTACCTTTTACGTATATTAGTATTAGTGAAAAAATTGTAAGTTTACCGTCCTTTAAATCTAATTTGACCTAATTATGACACAAATTGTGTACATATTAGGGGGGGAGATGTGCCTATTTTTGGCAATTTTTTTTCTAAAAGTGCAGGTACCTTTCCGTTGTGAGATCGGAATAATGACTACGTATTCATTAAATGATCGAGACATATTTACATATATAATCGAAGGACCATATAAATGTGCAACCGTGACCAATTTGCATAATCATCATCAACAATTTTCGGATGGAAAGTTTGTTTTTGTCGAATTAAAGTGGCTCGTACTCTCATAGCTAGTGAAGTTTCTAGGATTGGGTTCGGTGCAGATTTAGGTTTGGGCTTGGGCTGTCTTGTTTTTAAACTGATAATTGTGTGAAATAGTTTTGAGACATGAATGAGAAGTTGAGAACCAGGATGATTTGGGACATTTCAAATAAAAAACTACTACGTATTACACAAAAGGACATCGTAATTTTAAAAAGGACACATATACAACTGTGGACTCGTTCCTGGTCAAAGATCGGGACTGGCACTGTACCGGTAGGCATGGCCCGGGGCCGGTCTGACCGGACCGGACCGGTGTACCAGGCCCAGGCCCGAACCGGGGGGATAAAGGAGATGGGTCCGGGCCTCCGGGGTTAGATATATGGGGACCGAACCGGCTGATCCGGGCCCGGTCCGGGCCGGTAACGGCTCTTTTAAAAAAAAAATTATTAAATGGAAGGCTCCTTCCTAGCCGTTGGGAAAGCTCCCAAACGGCTCTATAGCCGTTGGGGGCAAGGGGGGGGTCCCGGGGGGTTGGGGGTGGGGGTGGGGAACAAAAAAAATCTATAAATACTCATATTTTCTATGCATTTTCTACACCTCTTGTCCAACTATTCCTACTCTCTATTCTCTAACACTCTTAATCATCTTCATCTTCTCCAATTCTCTCTACATTTATTTATAATTTTATACAATTGTTATATCTACTTATGTATTAATTATATTATATTACTTATATTTCTTATCTACTTAATATATACTTATTATCTACTTAATAGACTAATATTCAGGTCCGGCCAGGCCGGACCACTCCCCCCGTCCGGCCTCCTCCATTTGGGGGTCTTCCCGGTGGTATTTTTTGCTCAAATTTTTTGTGTAGGTTCCTCATCAAGTCTAGTTCATCCATACCAAATTTCAGCCAAAAATTCAATCGGGAAGGTTGTCAAATGATATTTGCAAGTTAACTGGTCCAGAATATGTATTTTCCGGACCAGTTAACTTGCAAAAATCATTTGACGACCTTCCCGATTGAATTTTTGGCTGAAATTTGGTATGGATGAACTAGAGTTGATGAGGAACCTACACAAAAAATTTGAGCAAAAAATAACACCGGGAAAGCCCCCAAATGGAGGAGGCCGGACGGGGCTCCGGTCAGGTATACCTGACCGGAAGACTACTCCTACTTAATATATACTTATGTATATGAAAGTATTAATTATAAGTATATTACTCGTCTTATAGTAGCATACTTAAATATTATATACTATAACATTATATTATATACTTCGTATTAGTTATACAATTATTATATCTGCTAATATAGTTATTATCTACATATAAATACATATATTATATCTACTTATATTTATTATCTACTTAATATATAATTAATATCTACTTATTATATACTTGTTATTTACTTATATTTACTTATTTACATCTAATTAAAGTATTAAATATAAGTATACTACTCATATTATAGTAGTATACTTACATGCTACGATTATATACTATACACAATATATTATATATTACTTACACTTTAATTAATATTAGTTGAATTCATCCTATTACTTATACACCCACACTCCCATTAATTAATATACACATTCATACATTTTTCCTATTAGTTACATTTTTTATTAATATTAGTTCATTACCTAATTGTTACATTTCTCATTATAGTAGTTCATTAGTTAATTGGTACATTTCTCATTAAAGAATAAAAGTAGTTAATTGTTACATTTGTCATTAAAGTATAAAAGTAGTAAATTGTTACATTTCTCATTTTCGCGTTAGTTTTAAATATTTATTAAAGTAATTCGAATTTTTATTTTTATTAAAAAATGTAGTTCGAATTTTTATTTAAAAAAAAAATAGTTCACATTTTATTTCATTAAACTACACTTGTTAGATTGAAGTATTAATTAAAGTACTTGGAATT